TGTATCGCAAACGAAGCAAATGTCGAACCGCGGGGCAAAAGATGGGTTTGCCGTCGACCATCGGAATGTAGTCGTCTGCTGCGCAGACGCGCGTCGCGAGGTTCGTGACGGTCGGGTTGATGCGGAGTGTTTCGTAGATGACGGCCGTGAGGTACTTGAGGTCTCCGACCGCTTCCCACGACAGTTGACCGGTCGCCATGACGCGCTGGCACTCGTCGACGACGCGGGCCTCGACGTCCGGGTGCGTCGCCAGCATTGCAAAGACCCAGCACAACGTGTTGCTCGTTGTCTATTCGAAGTAAGAAAAATAAGAAAAATCGATACACGATGATGCAGAACCGACCTCGTGGCCAGCAAAAAGAAAGGTCATGACGTGCACGCGCGCCTCGTCCGCCGTGATCTTGTGCTCGGGTGAGTCGAGCATGAGGTCGAGGAGGTCCCGGGACGTCGTTGGCGGTGCGCTCAGCTTGGTCGCAATCACATCATGCACGGCTTGGAAGAGCACCTTCTTGGCCGCCTTGCGCTTACGCAAATCGGGTAGCGGGAGATTCTCAAAGCCCGGCACGTAGGCATTCCCAAACGCAAAGAGGAGCGTTGGCACCGTGTTGAGGTCGTCAAAGGCCGCCATGATGTCGGCGCTGTCGTTGTGGAGCGCGTTGAAGTCGAGTCCGAACGCCGCGAGACCAATAATGTCAAACGACAACTTGGTCATGACTAGCAAAACGGTATTGGTACGATAGACAATATGAGACAACAGCGTACGATCAAACATATCGACGACGTCACACGAGTCGGCTTTCGGTGCCATGAGCGCGTTGAACGTCTGTGCATGCTGCGCAAAGATGTCGACGAATGTCTTGAGCTTGGCGTACGCAAAGTGCGGGTTGAGCATCTTGCGCTGCCCGGCGTGCGTCGGGTCTTCGGAGCTGAGGAGGCCAATGCCGCCCGTGAAGGACCGCAGCAGCGACCGGGAGATAATATGGCGCGGGTAGTTCTTTGCGTTCGAGACAAGGACGTGCTTGAGCGCGTCCGGGTCGGCGATTGCGAGCTACAAAAACCCATAAGATCCATTCTAAAGTCGAATCGTGGACGAACACGCTCGGTGGCGAAAACGCGCATGTGGTAGGCAGGGCCATATTGCTCCAGCCACTGGCCCTGGACCCCCGGAAACGGCGTCGCCTCGTCCCATGCAAACTGCGCCACCTCTTTGCTACACGATTGATGCGATGAGGGGTGGGTTCAAAAATATATTGGAGGGCACCCGTTGCCGAAAAAGATACTGGTCGGCGGTGGCCCCGGAAGAGCGTTGAGCGGGTGGAGGGACGGCGAAATGACAAAGAGGTACGTGAAATACGCCCCCACGG